ATGAGCATAACGTTTTACTCGGAGATGGGATTTAGCAAACTCGGTGGCGTTGGAAAGAGGATTCAATTATCTTTAATTTGATAGGTCATGGGCCACCTAACTCATTTTGTGCTAAAAGATATGACCGTTTGAAGTTGACCCAACAACCAATTTCCTCCAATTGGCTGTTGACCCTCAGCTACGGTCCGTAGGTCCAACCACAGACCGTTCTGGTCGACCATGGATGGGGTCAGAGACCATAAATATTTGGTGCCCAACGAAGGACCCCATCTACGGACCATATGTCAGACCACAGACCGTCGGTGTCTTCCATGGTTCTTGCACCAGGTCTGGAATCCTGCATTTTTTCTATTTTCTCAAATCTAAGGTGTTACATAGCCATTTGGGATACGATAAAAATTCCATAGGTTTGAGCTATTCACAAGAGCTCGACCCCTATTTGTCCTAGCTTGTGTTCGTGAGTTTTATTCTTCCTATGCTAAGGCATTTCCAAAGAAGAGAAAGTGCATTGATTAGGGACCCTTTGAAGAGGTGGAAGTGCGGGGGAAGATGGTTCAATTCCAGTGGGGAGCTATTAATGATACCTTGGGAATGGAAGGCAATATAGGTGACATATTCAAGATTTGAATGAAGCATAGCTTGGATTCTTTTAAAGGGTGGTTGGCACCCTTAATTTAAGATATTACTTCCCCGTGGATGGCAGATAGAGCAAAGATTGAGAAAAAGGATATAAGCATTGGAGCTCGATATTAGTTTGGGTTCATTAGCAACAACTTAATGTCATCACAAAATATAGACTGCCTCTATAGAAGGTGATTCACTACTTAAGCAAAGGAAAGGCTAGATCAATTAAAGGAGACACTATGAGCCCTCTACCACACGCATTTGACCAGCTCGCATGGTTCACTGATTCACCAACTACACCAGAAGAGTGATTCAGTATTACATTGGTGCACTTGAAGCAGGGTGTGTGCATACCTTATTTGGATTGGACCTTCCTAATAATGCCCCACAGTGGTGGGCAAATGTGGTGCACACTTCTTTGAATCAAAGATACACAGTTTGAACTATGATTTTTGAATGAGTAATTGTTCAAGGAGAGTTTCTAATGATTCTCTTCCTTAATTCTTTTTTAACAAAGCCGTACATTTTCCATTTAAAAGATATTGGGAAATAATATGACTTTTAAAAACTTAATAAATATGATGTAGGTTGTAGTTTAACCTCTACATAATCCACATCTCCTACCATTTAAGGGTTTCTAGAATCTAACAAGAAAGAAGTAACGAGGCAAATATTGATTTTTTTCTTCCTCATATGAACTATGTTAAAGCTGAAGATAACATTACTACAAAAAAGGTAAATAAAAAAGGCATGATCGTGTATGGTTGATTCATCATGATGACAAATTTCATGATAACCAAAAATGGAAATTATTTCCATATAGAGGTAGAAATGGAGGAGTTCTTAAGCCAAAATCTCGGATTAGATTTCCACTCAGACTCCATTTGGTAAGATTCAACAATAAGATTTAGTAAGGGACTCAGAGATACTGAAAGAAGAAATTATTAAACATAACCCTTATCATATCTAAAAGTATACTTTCTAGAGAGACATACGTGTATGTTCATGGTAGTTGGATTGAACCGTAGTAGCTTTGACTCAAACCCTTCACATGAGTAATGAAAATGACTATGATATATGTAACACCCCGAAAACTAGTAGGCTAAACTAGAGCTTTACGTGAGGGTTAGAGTCGTGAATTTAGCTTCTCGTACTTAGAATGAAGGTTTTAGGGTTAAAACGTCAAGATACGACTCCCCAAGGACCAACCAAGGGTCCTTAAGGAGGACCCTAGAACTGCCCAAGGCAATGCACCCACGAGGGAACCTACGCCCTGTAGGGGGTCCACGCCTTGTAGATGGCCTCGTGGGTCAAGGTCTCAAAAGTTGAGCCACAGAAACTTACCCATGATTGACCAGCATGGACCGTGGATGGACCTATGGCCCGTCAGCATGGTCTCGTGGGTTGAGGCAATGGCCACCTAGAGACAGTAAAGTGAGGGATATTGTGGAACATTCCGAAATTAATTAGTTATTGAGTGACGTAGTTTTATACTAATTTAGACTAAATATATAATGATTTAAGACCCCCAAATTAAGTCATCTTCCTCATAATTCCAAAATCCCAAATCAAAACCAACTTTTCCCCTAAAATTCTCTCTAAAACTCCAAGAAAGAAGAAGAAGAAGAAAGTTGAAGCTAGGGTTGAAGGAGCAAGATTTTCTACTCAATTTCATAGGGATTAAAATCTAAGGTATGGTAGTTCTTCATCCATGGATAGTTTTCATCCATGGAGTCCCTTGAAACTCAATTTCAAAGATAGAAATTTCCCCAAAAAGCTAGGGTTGTACTTCAAGTCATGGATTCCTTTCAAAATATGATTCTATTGATTTAATTACTTAATATTATGATTGAATTGATGATTATTATGGTTTTTATGATGAAATCTCCCAAGAATCCATTAAATCCCCTAAATTCCCAATTATGATCTTGTGAATGTGGGTTTGTTGATAGAAGAAGGATATTATGAGATTATTCTTGTAGTAATTGAGTTATTTGAATCATGTTATTATCCATGTCTAATGTATTAATTCTAGATGTGTTGATTGAATTTGATCTTTGATCCTTGAAGGGTTATAGTATGAGAATTATGCATGATTGTGAGATTTATGTATGTGCTTTAAGAACACTTTGAGAGTGAAGTGTCCATGATTATGATAATGTTGTTGTGTTGATTGAAAGGCTATTCTCATGAACACATAATGAACATGATGTGAAAGGTTTTCTCACATAATGAAGATTCTAGGTTGAAAGGCTTTCTCACCTAATTGAATCTAATGTTAAATGAAGACATGGACGGTGAAAGGTTATTCTCAGGCATGATCTAAGAGCCATCCTAATGAACTCTTTTGGATTGATTGTCAAGTACATCCTTCCATAAGACATGAAGAAAGTTATGACTTAATAAAGTATTATGTTGGAATTATGCTTAGCACCGAGTGGATATTGATATAAGATGGAAGCCTTCATATGAGTTGAGTCCGGGTTTCTAGGAGCAATCTCTTGAGATGGATGCCCTCACGAGAGTTGAGCCCGGGTATCTAGTAACAATCTCCTTGTCCAATAACTACGTTCCCCCATAGGTTATTTATCTATTGGATACTCCTAAGCTAAAGTAATGGTTCTACCTTAGGCAAGTAGTACAACCCTTTTCGGTGTGGGTAACACTAGATTCCATGTTAAGCTCACATGGTCTATGTCGGTTAAGGCTATTTCCCACAAGGTCAAGTCTAGTATGAACTATGGCTACCCAAGAAGCTTTACTTAGTATGGGTGAGAGTATGGGATCTCATAAATGTATTGCACAAGTATACTTTGAGGATAGTTGTGGTATGTTCCTTTTATGTTATAATGATTATGTAATGAATATGCTTATGACTATGTGCTAAGTATGTTTGATATGAGGACTCCTTGTAATGATACATGTTTAACTTGGATTGTTGTCATGAGTTTATTTCCTTGGTATGATTGACTAAAGGTGAATGTTCCCTTGTCTATGAGAAATAAGCTAAGAATGAGATCTAAAGATGGTAAACATGAATGAGGACCTAAAGTGATTTTACTTAGCATGGGTGGGATTATGGGGTCTTATCCATGCATTGCACAAGCTTGCCTTGAGGTGGCTCATGAAGTGTTTCTCTTATGTTATGCTAAGACTAGATTGTATTGACTATGTCTATGTCTATGATGTTATCTCTTATGTTCACTAGTTATGATTATTGTCTACCATGTTATAGCCTATGTCTTATTATGATATCACTTATGTTTATGACTTGTGTTTTTCCACTATCTTCAAAATGATGATTTACCATAGCAAATTGCATGCATTCAACTAAAATGTTCCTTTTAGCATGTTTTCAAGGTTTTTATGCATGACTATCATACTTAGTGCATTTTTGTACTAACCCATATTTTCCTACATTTTCCCCAAGTGTAGGGTCCGGTTCTCAAGGTGGTCCTCATTGCGGCTAGAGCTTGGATTTGATCATATCTCCTAGCTTGTTGGTGAGTCCTCATGATTCGAGGATGGATGCTATCTTTGTAGTTTCTTTTATTGTACTTCCATTTTCGGACATGTTGTATGGGTAAGTCCCAATTTGATTCAAGGATTGTAATAGATGGCTATATTGAGATCAGCCTAGACTTCCGCATTGCTTTTATGAAAAGCTTTTTAAGACTTGAAATGTATTTTACTTCTTATTGTTCTAATGCTTTATGTTATGATATGCTAAGTGGCTTACATGGTGCCCTTCGGGGTATTATGTGTCTTGTTACATCTAGGGGGTACCCCTGGGTCGTGATAATATAATTCCAAACACGAACTCATATACTTCACTTTTGTATAAGGGGTAAAACTGTTCTACTTCTTCTTCAGCAGTTCTCTTGCACGATACCTAGATTATGCCTCTTAAAATTAGTATACCATTAATCTATAAGCTTCAATTAGTATGTACTAGTATAAAGAAACAAAATTGAAACAGACTGAAAAAGAAACAATGTTGTAATCTGGAACCAAAATTGTACTAGTTAGCACCCAAGGGTGTAGCCTTGTGGTCAATGAAGTGGGTTGAACACCATGAGTTTGTTCTAGCCTTGGGAACAAAATTACCCAGTACCTATTTTTGTTGGGAGGTGACATGTGTTTTGTGAAATTAGTATAGGTGCACAGAAACTAGCCTGAACACCATAGATATAAAGAGAAAAGAGTACGCGGAAGACCTTTACTCCAACTTGTGAAGGTAGAAAGATTGTTTTCGAAAGATCCTCGGCTCAACTAAGACATATCAAAACATGTTTGGAGAGGAAATACAATAATGAAGAAACCCTTTCGAAGAAAAAAATAGAAGAAGAAATGAACAATACCGACAAGAAATAATATATAATAAATGCTTACTACAGTAAAGAAAACAACAGATAACATAAATGAAATATGGAAACCACATCTTTAGTCTTACACAAATTTGTCTGTTGGTAACTCATAATATCAAATAATTGCTGTAGAAACGAAACTACGAAAACCAAAAACAATGTTCGACTGCATTCTGATATTGTAGCTTGCTAAATCCCAGGTATCAGCTAGGATTTTTCCCTCAAACACAAGTTTTTGCAGATGAACTGTCATGTTTAGCTTCTGTAGAAGCCTTCACATCCTTGACCAACTCCAGCCTGTGCACTTCTAGTGTAATACTTCCACTACTCGTCTTGATTAAGATCTGTATTGTTATACTCTTCACCTTTAAGACAGACTCTTCATTGATATCACACTGATAATGTCTTCGAATCTTCAATTTTTTGTTTCCCAAGAAATAGATCCATAGAATTTATCGAGTAGCCAACTCTGCTTTTCTATAACTAGTTCCTGAACACGCGCTTTACGCGTGAACCCTATGTCAATAAGCATACGATTTTAAAAAAAAGTTACATCGATTGATAATATATTAGTGTTGTAAAACAAAATAAAAGTTTGTTATACTTTTTATATCCACAAACATGATGTTCGGTCGGAAAGTTGTAAGACAACAGAAAACGGCAATGTTAAATTATAAAGCTTATTAAATTGAAGGACCTTGAATAGATATTTCAAATTGTTTTAATTTATACAACCACAACAACAACGATATATCTATATAGTACCATAAAGTGGGATGATTTTATTATGTTAAAGTGTTTGAATAAATATTCAGTGTAATCCAACAAAGTGATCTAATAATTACATTTACAATAGTATTTTAAATAAAATAAATTATATTTATTTTTGCATATTACAATTGTTACTTATAATGTATATGTATATATAGCATTCGAGAGCTAACTTTACAAATGTAAAGGTTTCTCAATGCAAATTCATTGTGAATTCTTAAATAACAGTAAGATTTAATCCCAAAGATATACTATAATTTTCTTTAATTAATTAAGTTAATATGAATGGTTCTCATATTTGTATTTCTTTTAAGTTCAACTTTTTAAATCTTTGTTAGAACGAATATTGATATTTTAGCATAAACAATTGTAGTAAGATCAGTGTTTCACTAAAATTTAAAAAATCTTTCAATTCTTTGGTGATTTTTTAGTATGCAGTTCAACTTTATAAGTAAGAATTTCTCACTTTTAAAACCACCCATGTGAAAAAAAAAATGCATAACTCATGAATATTGTCAATTTGGGAAAAAACTACTACCATAAAGAATTTTATGACAATAATGGTAACTTATCTTACTTATACAGCGTGAGAATATGTTAAGCCATTTTTATGTAGGATATCTAGTAGTAGTATTTATCATCGTAAAATTGTTCTCTAACTACATCATATTATGATTACAACATATGTCATAATTGGATACTTTTGAGATTATGTAAATTCTCTAGCATTTTATTCCTACATAATTACTATTCTGTAGTATTAATTATCCAAATATAATTACTAATTAGAAAGTATATTAAGAGATTCTTGAATTGGGAAAAATGTAATCCTAAAATTAAAATTCAAAATTCATGGTAACTTGATCCAAAAGGGAATGAATTATATATTGATAAATAAAGAGTGCATGTTATTGTTTTGTAAATAATATTTATTTATTATTGCAAAGAGTATTCACACTACCTATATTTAAAGGGATGAGAAATTTAAAAGGAACGTAACTGATAAATGGAAAAAGGCAAATATGAAAAAACATAAGTTTCGTGGTATAAGAACTCAAAAGTTTCCAACAAAAAAAAAATGAAAAAAAAAAGAGAGAGAGAAAGGCAATATTAAAATTAAAATAACAATTACCTGGAAATTCAAAATAGAAGAAAGAATGTGATCATAATAATCATGAACTTCACAGTATCCATATACAACAACCCTGCTCGACGTCAAAATTAAATCATCATTGTTAAACAAGAAATATAGAGATCAAAAGATATGTTCATCACATTATTTTACACAAAAAAAAAAATATTTGGAGAAATAAAATATTCATAAATATTTCAATACAGACTATGAAATTTTTTTACCTCATGTAATCTTCAATTTGATATAAAAAAAAAGTATTTCATGTGCACAACAAATCTAATCTTATTTGCACTTGTGTACAACAATCCCTTCATACGATCGGAAAAGCAATTCCTTCAAATAGCTTCTAAACTCTGTTTGTTGTACCCATGTTTTCCAACAATTTCATATCAAAACTGAATATACATTTGTAAATACCTAAAAGTCTTATGAAAAGTTTTTTTAAAAAAGAAGACAAGTTCTTAATAGAGAAATTTTAAGAACAAAGATCAAAGAATTGAACAAAACATTAACAGAGGAAATGAAAAAGAATCTCAAACTCAAAATAGGACTCACCATTTTGGCTTAGAAACGATTGTAAGATCAATGGTGATCTTTGAACTTCTGTTTATAAGATATTACCCACATAACATAGACTTTTGGACTTCTTATTAAATAAAATGAAAAGAAATAGTGAAAAAAGATAACTAAAAGTGGGAAAATCTGATATATATTTTTACCTTAATAATGGAAATAGAATCATTTAATTTTACAAGGGCATTTTGGTATTTCAACTTTTTATTTGTGATGTTCCCACTTATAATAATATAATATATGATGATTGTTTTAATGTCGCGAATAATTAATGCAGCCTTGAATTCTATTTTAACAATTACATCAGTTGGCATTACCATAGAAATAAGCAACTTGTCACTTGGATTGGAAACCATATGAAGTGTTTATCCACTATGGATTTGTAAAAACCTAAGATTTTGTCATCTTCAAGAAACTTCCGATTATGAATAAGAGAAAATTGCTTTGAGTTTACTCCTTGTTTGATCCGAATCCTTTATTTGACATCCTGGATAGTATCGAAAGTCCTTGAATAAACTGTAATTGCACAATTAGCCTCTCTTCACAAAAAATACCTTCGGGAATGAATTGTCGATATAAGCATGAAAGGTGGAGTTTTCTATAATGCCACAATCCATTAGCTTTTGTTCGTCGTTTGTTAGGCGAACATCTTTTGAAAATAGCAGTTGAAGACATTCTGGTATTCCCTCCTCATCATGTAATAAAGATTTCACATATCTGATACTATCTGATTCTTTAACTGTTATAGTGACTGTTTTAATGACCTTCACGTCTATAGTCATATGAAAGAGGATAAACAAAAACAAATTATGGTCCATAACGGTTTAATCAACTGTCAACATGTATTGTTGCAAATATTCTATAGTTCAATGAATTCAGTTTCAGCACAAGAACATTATTTAAACTGTGCTTACAATCATAAACACCAGAAAACGAAAACATTCTAAAGCACAGACCAAAAGTACAGAGCATGCAATTTTTTAAGGTAAAAATCATGTCGTCAACAATGCAATTGTATATTCGGTTTTGCATGTTCAAAGGATTCGGATTGAACTCCTATTGCTTTCACTCAAACCCTACATATGAATAGATAAATGGGATTGTGGTAGATTCCAAACTAGAATTCATATTCCTAAAATCCTAAATCCGCCAAAGGTGGATGTAGAGCATCAGTTATAGATTTATTTGAACATATACCTCATAACTTTACCTTCGACTTTGTATACATGTGTTAAATGTTTTACTAAATAATTAATTTCGATTCCAAATAATCATATGAGTTAGGGTTGAATCCTAAACTTCAAATCTTGGTTGTGATAGCAAATCCCACCATTTTATTTCAAAATTTATATCGATAATTACTTATATGTGTAATTAAACGTGGAATAACATTTTATCTCAGATTGTTACAAGGAGCAAACCTTTTTTTCTTTTTCATCTTCTACAGCAAATCTCCTGCACTTCATGCTTGACTCCATCTTTTTCAAAGCTTTAAATCTCCTACAAAATAACACAAAAACAATAGAGAATATGAGAAGAAGAAAAAAGGTGGTGTAAGAAGCAAGTATTCTAAGCACACAAAAGAACTTTAACTTTCTAGTACAATGTCTTATATATGTGTATGTACTCGGATCAGATCAACCTCAATTTGTTGTAGGAAAAAATATTAAACATCAAAGAAAAATGTGAAAAAGATTAACTAATCTTATAATGTTAACATTCATTATGGAAAAAAATGTTAAACCTCAAATTAAAATGTAAATAGATCTAGTAATATCATCATTATACTCTTTTTTCCTTCTAAAAAACCAATTTAATTCTTAATTAAGTCACAATTAATCTTGAATGTGTGAATACGAATTGACTTGGATCATATCAACCAATAATCCGGGACTCCCGTGTGGAAGGACTCTCACTCAATGGATCAAAGGTTCATCGGGGATAACATGCTGATGACTTCCAAGAGCTCCTATTGGCGGAGTCATTTGGCACCTCGATGTTGACTCATCCCATCTTGAGGTTTAAGAAGGTCAGATGAGTTGAGGATTTTGACTTATTTAGGATTTATTATTCAAGGATTTAGTGTCCTCAATGCCTGCTTTACGCACATAACTGATGTTAATATGTTGATATGCAGCAATGAAGGCTTTAGAGTGATGCATGGATATTTAGAGATGGGGACAAAGATTGGTATGCGCCTCCTCATGAACGTCAAAAGCCTAAGGAACCAAGGGCTGATCTTGAAAGCTTTCGGACCAAGGATATGCTTTTTTGTATAGTGAACAAGGTGGAAGGGTCGGACAAGGTATTTTATGGTTCACTTAACTCATACTGTGCTAAAAGTTACGGTCGTTTGAAGTTGACCCAAAACTTAAAAGAACTTACGAATGACTTGAATGGATTCTCTTTAGGTACTTTTTTTTTTTTTTTTTGATAACCGAGAAATCCGTCTGTGACCCGCCCTTTGGACCAATCACAGCCTTCTAAACTCGGTGGATAATGGGCCCGTCCCTCTACCCTTCTCCACTTAAATACCGGGCTTCGCTTTGCATGGTGTGGGGCTTGAACCTGCGACCTAAGCCACAAATCCTCCACCTTTTGCCACTTGAGCTAGGCCTTGGGGGCTACATCTAGTGACCTTAACACTTAAGAAAATTTGAATTTCTCGGTAAAATCTTACTCACAGCGAAGAATGGTTTGAGTCTTAGCTCAAAAATTTTCCGGGGTGTTACACCTTCGAATAGAAAAAGTCATGTACTTCTCCCTTTCCTTAGAATAGAGAAAGACACATACTTCTCCCTTTCCTTAGAATAGAGAAAACACATACTTCTCCCTTTTCCCCTTAGAATAGATTCTTAGTTCTAGTCAAATGTGGGCATAATAAGGACCACGAAATTAATTACTAAGTCTTCATATAATGGAAATAATTCCAATTAATTAATTTGAATTATTCTTACCATAACAACTTACAAATCATTCCACTAGAAATTCGTAATTGCACTCCTCTATTTATATTTCGAAATTCTCTATTAAACACATATGTAATTCTCCATGTTAAGATTACAGATACTAATCAATTAATTAAAATACTGACGAATTTAATTCAATGATCAATTTCCTTTAGAGCACTGCTTAACTTATTTCATGTGTCGGATTCATAAATTCACTTGTAAAGTTTGACACGATGAAAACTTATAAGCTTCTCAAAAAGGCATATCATCAATCTCTATATCGAGACATGGATTCCATCAACTAACTTATTATTTCACCAATATGCATTATCATCATCAAATCTACCAGGCATATTGACCTATCTTAGAATCTCACATTTTAATAAATCAAAATGATAATTAACATATACAGATCATAATAGTTAAATCAAGATTAAGAATATATGTACAATTAATAGTTTAGAGGATATTATTTTGTTAGTCAGTCTAAAGCAACTATCTCTACTTGGTCCCATTCAATACATACAAAATACACTAGCACAAGAAGTTGGAACTATACCATTCCCATAATCAAGATAAACTACATATAATCTTGTGCTACAATCGTACTGATGACATTTCCAATTCCCATCTTAGATTGTGAATAAAAAAAATTATACTTATAAGAACTGATGATTTAGTGTATGAGCTAAAACTCTATACACTAAATCATCGACTATAAACATCAATTGGAGGAAAAGCTATATGTACCCTATTAATGAAGTGCAAACCATGGAGTATCTAAATGCAATATTGGGTGGGGAAATAGGTGTTTTGCCAACAACATATTTAGGGATGCCTCTGGGAGCTAGTTCTCAGTCTTATGAGATCTGGAACAAGGTGGTAGAAAAGTGTGAGATGAAGTTAGCAAGGTGGAAATCACAATATCTCTCCAGAGGTGGGAGATTTACTTTGATAAATTCGGTCCTTGATTCCCTCCCAACTTATATGATGTCGGTGTTTCTAATTCCTCAGATAGTCATTGACAGATTGGACAAAATCATAAGAAAGTTTTTGTGGCAGGGAAATAGTGAGAAAAAGAGTTATAACCTAGTCAAATGGGATGTTGTAACAGTGGGTAAAAGACAAGGGAGATTGGGTATTAAGAACTTGAAAAATCAGAACAAGGCTCTCAGAATGATATGGCCGTGGAGGTTTTGCAATGAAAATCAATCCTACTGGAAGGAAGTCATTAGTGCAAAGTATGAAGGGCAAGATTGCTGAATGACCAAAGTATGAAGGGCAAGATTGCTGAATGACCAAAACTGTTACTACACCTTATGGAGCAAGTGTATGGAGGTCCATTAGATCCTTGTGGGATGATTTCAAAAACAATACAAGGATCAAAGTGGCAAATGGGGAAAGAACTAACTTCTGGATGGATGTATGGCATGAGGCTGGCAGGCTAGAAAATTTGTTTCCAGATATTAGTACCTTAGTGTCACACCAACACAAGTCCATAGGTGATCACTGGTCTCCCCAAGGGTGGAACTTCATTTTTAGAAGACACTAAAATGATTGGGAGATCCAGAGAGTTACTGATTTTTACAACACCATTGGTCCGGTCAATGGATTGGAAGGTGGGCAGGATACTTTATGGTGGAAGGGCAACAAAAAAGGTATTTTCAAGGTGAATTGTGCTTATAACTGGTTGAACAACTCCTACCAGTTGACAAGTAACTGGCCTTGGAAAGGAATATGGAAATCCAAAATACCCCTCAAAGTGTCATGTTTTGTGTGGTTATTGGTCAAGGAAGCAGTTTTGACCCAAGACAACCTAATGAAGAGAGGGATTCCATTGTGCTCAAGGTGCCTATTTTATGGGGAAACTGTTGAGACAGTTAACCATCTTTTTCTACACTGTAGAGTAACTAGCCAACTCTGGAGACTATTCCTAAATCTCAAGGGCGTTTCATGGGTCATGCCAAGCAAGATCACTGAAACCATTCAGAGTTGGGAAGAAGCTGGAATGCAGTCTAAGAGCAGAGAGAGATGGAGAATTGTCTCTACTAGCATTTGGTGGGTAATATGGAAGGAGAGGAATTCCAGATGTTGTGATAGTACAGAAAATAGTATGGAAAAAGTCAAGCTTAATTGCTTGTTGCTACTGTGTTTTTGGTGTAATCAATTATACTCCACTGACACTATCTCCCTAATTGATGTACTAGACTCAATTTAGGATCAGATAGCTGGATTTGATGATCTCATTGTAAATATGGCTCAGTACTAGCTATGTATTGTTGTAGTAATATGCAAAGTTACATGTTTCAAAAAAAATCGACACCATAAATGAATATATTATCTATTAAAAATGAATAAATAATTATTCTATAATAAATATTGTATCTATACACATGGTTAATAGTATATATTCCCAACAAAATTTAGCCACGTCAACTTTAATCAGAAAGTGAAATTGGTGAATCCTATCAGAGCTTTTTGAATGAAATATTTCACCTCAATATATTATTGGAACATGAATAATAATAACAATTATCTACTCATAAAATTATAATGATGGTAAATTTTTCTCTAATGTTAAACAGATATATTCGAGCATTATGAATTAAATCATTTTTCATAAAGAACAATTTACCCCCGAAGTATAGTTCTCACCGCAAATCAGGATTAATTGAATTCAAAAGCGAGTAGTGTGTATTGTCTTGGAAACGCAAAAAATAAAACAATTATTTACACATACAACGTAACTACCTAAATCCAATTTTCTACACTAGTGTTTGGCATCAATTTATTTATCAAGTTAGTACTTCCATATAATTATTATTCCACTATTGGTGTTTATGAAACCAACATCCACAATGTAATGTCATTTCGACACTATAAGATAAAAGGTGTGGTGTTTCCTTTTTGTAAGACCACACATGGATAATTCAAGAAAATGAACTTGTACTTGTACAATAGTTGAAAGTGGCATTATGAACACTTTTGACCTTCAATCATTGATCTTCATTGCCAAATCAAGCAAACAATTAAGCATGATATTCACTGAAAATCGGTGGTTATCACGACCCAATTTAGGAACGTGACCGGCGCTAAGGGGGAGAATCCCAAATCAAGCCTTACTAGAATTCTACAGAAAATCGGACAAAATTTCTTTTGTTTCTAGGCATATCCTGAATTTTTCCTGTCTCAATCAACAACACAACTAATATCAACTATAAGCCAAGATATAATATCCATCGATGATCTAATTTCCATGCAATAATACTAATTCATCTCCAAAATACGAAAAAAGAAGTTCAAAACTAGTCATTGGACTACAATACGAAGGAATAATCATGACTCAAATAAAAGAAATGACAAATGGAGCGACTCTAAGAGTTTTTAAAAAATAAAATAAATCATAGCAATTCAATATGTCTGCCACGCGAAGCAATGCGAGGCTCACCAGATATTATCAATCCACACTCTCTAATTAATGAGATCTTCTCTAATGTCACCTAAGTTCTCTGTAAAAACATTTAGCGAGGAGTGAGACACTAGCTCACT